GCTCACTTATCCAGATCCCCCAGACATGGAGGACTAGGTTTGCCAGCAGGGGGACAGATGTACAGATGCATATTGGAAGGGGTGAGCTCTCACACCCCAGCCATTCCCACTTCCCCATGACACTTGTTTCTGTGTATCCCATGTTCCTGTAACACAGTGTGTCTGCATGCCTTGTGCCACATTCCCTCAATAAGAACTGAGAAGTTTAAGTATTCAGGATAAGGGAAGGGCTGAGCAGCTATGCTGAAAGGGGTGTAGTTAGCATACTGCATGCATCTTTGAGCTCTGTCCCCTGGTCCTTTTTGTGGCCCTGTTATGGATGGTTTGGGGTCACGGAGATTGAGAAGTACAGTTCCACAAACCAAAGTACAGTAAGGAGAGGCCCTTCTGCCTGTGAGCCTCAATGAGTGGCTCCTGAGGGCAGTGCCAGCCCCAGCCGATCTTTTAAATGCAAACCACAGCTATTTCTCTTCTAATTTCATACAGCATGCAATACATGACAGCATGTGCCTTCAGCCTGTGCTTCTCCTGCCTTCCACCTGGAATTCTGGTGACTTCACATCCCTAACCTTGGGATTGCTGCAAGAGAGCCACTGATAGAAACGCCGCCCACTGGGGACAATGTAGCTCCACAGAACTGTCATTTCCTGAGCCACTCCCCCTTTTGGGTACCTGGGCATGGTGCTGTGATTTTCATTAATGCATCTCCATCTACCTTTTTAAATTTTAAGGTTCTCGGATGTTATTCTGGCAACAATTTTGGCAACCAAGTCTGAAATGTGTGGCCAAAAATTTGAACTGAAGATTGATAACGTACGGTTTGTTGGGCACCCGACACTGCTGCAGCATGGTCTGGGGCAGGTATGGCCCTCCTCAGCAGGTAGGATCTTTCTAGGGTGGGTGGGGCTGGCTTCTGGCTCTGAGCGTCAGGACTGTGCTGACATCGGTGCTGGTGAATGTGCCCTTGGGGCAGCAGACCTGATCAGCTGCTTGCCATGAATTGTGTACTTTGTAGGTCCTGGGAATCTTGCCCTGTCTATAGTCCCTGCCACTATCTTTTTTTTTTTTCTTTTTTTTTCATTTAGTGATGAATGGAACTCAGGCCTTTCGATGTGCTGTGCGGTTGTTGGCCCACTGGGCTCCATCCCTAGCTCTCTGTCACTAGCCTTTGCTGGCTACATTCTGTGCCACCTCTGTGGTCTTTCCTCATGTATAGGGAGGGTATTTGCATCCAGAAAAGGCAGTAGAATGAGTTAACTAACAATTGTCTAATTCCTGCACCTTCTAAAAAATTGGTGCAAGCACTTCTACTAAACAATATTTTAATAGCCAACATATTTTAGTATGTATTGTTGTTCTAACCTTTTTATATTTGTTTTCTGATAGTTGAGTATTTGGGTACTGAGGAATGTTAGCAAGGTGGAATGTGCTATTACCCAAAGGAGCCTGTCCACTAGAGCTAGTCAACTCTGCATACAGGCAGGATCCATAACAGCATCACCTAGATTCAGAAGGTTTCGGTATGCCGTACTATACAGGAATTGTATAAAGGACTGTGCTGTGACTTGCAAGCTTTATCAATGTGAGGAGCTTCTGAGGGCAATTGGAAGTGTCTTGCCCCTTTGATAATACCCTTCCTCCTTACAACGGTATTTAATGACCAGGCTTGGGTTCCTGTCTATGGGTGAGGAGAGTTGATGGTCACTTCCTATAGAATTGCAGTGACTGGCAGGGATGGGTACGGTTCCTGGATGTTATAGGAAGAGTTCTAACTCCCTCTCTAGGCAGCACTTGTAATTCGGCTCAAAGAGCTCAGAGTGGTACCTTTGGATGCTTTGGTGTTTGTGACTGGAACTGCCTGGATGCCAGAACTGGAAGAGAGAGCGACTTGGTTCTGTAGCAAGACTGGCTGCCCGCTTTCATCAGGGCTGCTGAGCACTGTCCTATCTCTAAATGTCCTTAGTACTTGCCATGGCAACAGAGGCATGGTTCTGGGTTCTCCATCCACTTACATCTCTTTCTGTCCTGTCTCTTTTGGGCATTGTCAGTTGATTCCTTCAGTCATGGAACTCACAGTTCCAGCCATTCTGCTCCTTCCACACATGAAATTCATCGGCTTGTATGGATGACGACTTGTATGTATGTTTGAGCAAAAGCACTAACACCTTCCCAAAGACCCTGGGGATGCTTTTCTCTCATTTTACCGTGCCTGGAGTCTTTCTCCATGCATGAAGTAGAAAGATCTAACAACTTTCTGAGAAAGTTAAAGCCGTCTGCTGGCTGTAGTGTCTCACCCCTCCAGTTCCAGAATAGAGAGCCTGAGGTAGAATCACTGTGAGTTCAAGACCAGCTTGAATCCATAGTAATTCTAGGTCACCCTGCAGTTCATAGAGATAGCCTGTCACAAACAGATAGACAGACTAGATGTTGTGTCTTTTGATTTATTAGAATTATGCTCTTTTACAGGTCTCCAAAACAGACCCATCTCCAAAGCGGGAAGCACCCACCATGATTCTTTTTAATGTGGTGTTTGCACTGAGGGTGAGTGTTTACATGAGTGCTTAGATCAGGAAGGGGACCTGAGGGAGAAGAGCCAGTTTCCAGTGAGTTTTCATTGGCCCAAAGCTCAGACCATGGCCATGGCACTTACCCTTTTGGTGTGCAGGTGGAGCATAGCTCATTGTGTTTCCTTCCTCTTCCTCTTTGAACATTTTTGTAAAATACATACCTACAACAAAATTTACTTTATTAACAGTAGTGATGAAACCCAGGGACTCATGCATGTTGGACAAAGAACTCTGTTACTAAGCTACATCTCTAGTCCTGAATGTTTCCCATTTTAAAGTTTATGCTGGGGATTGGAGAGAAAGCTCAGCAGTCAAGAGCACTGACTGCTCTTCCAGAGGACCCGGGTTCAATTCCCAGCAACCATATTGCTCACAATTGTCTGTAACTACAGTTCCAGGAGATCAACACTCTCACACAGACAAAACATTGCACATAAAACAAAATTAAATAAGTTTAACAAACAAACCAAAAAAAGGTATATGGTGGCACACACTAGCACTTGGGAAGCTAATGCAGGAGAATTGCTACAGATTTGAGGCCAGCCTATGCCACAGAATGAGATCTGTCTGAAAAAGACAGATGAGCACTCAGCTAGAGCAGGCAGTGCATTTCTATAGCCCCAGCACCTGGGGAGCTGAAGTAGGACAAGTAGGAATTCAAGGTCACAGGGAGCGTGAGACCAGTGTGGGCTAATGAAACCCTGTTTTAGTGCCCTATTACCGTCAAAAAAAAAAAAATAGACAATTTATGTCAGGCATGACTGCACATGTCTTCGACTATATAGTAAGATCCTGACCTAAAACATCAAATAATAAATAAAATAAAGAATTTAATTATACTTAATACATTTATAATATAATGTCACTATGTATCATTCATCTTGTTTATCACTGCTATCTAGATTCATATTTTATCCCTCTTAACAGGAAACTCATGAGGAGTCCAATAGCAGTTTTTAATGCCTCTGTATCTTAAAGCAAGTCCTAGGCCTCATGTCCATTCTTTTGTTTTAGATTTATTTGTATATGTGCATGAGTAACTGGGTGTCTGTCCAAAGCCAGAAGAGGAGTCAGTTCCCTTGGAGCTGAAGTTACAAGCAGTTGTGAGCCACTTGATGTGTGCTAGGAACAGAACTCAGGACCTTTGGAGGAGCATCAAGTGCTCTTAACTATTGAGCCATCTTTCTGCTCTGCCCCTCCCACCCCCCATTTTTATTTTAAGACAGGGTTTCTCTCTGTATCCCTGCTGTTTTAGAACTCCCTCTATAGACCAGGCTAGCCTTAAACTCAGAGATCTGCCTGCCTCTGCCTCCTGAGTCCTGGGATTAAAGGTATGTACCACCATGCCTACCTTTTGTTTCGTTTTTAGACTTGGTCTTATAGATCTCAGGCTGGCCATGAACTCTTATGTATCCGAGGATGACCTAGAACTCCTGATCCTTCTGCTAGGATTACAGGCATGTGCTTCATGTCTGTTGTATGTCCATTCATTATTCCTTTACAAGACTTATCTATGTAATGGTTTTTTTGTTTGTTTGTTTGTTTTTCGAGACAGGGTTTCATTGTAGAGCTTGTCCAGGAACTCACTCTGTAAACCAGGCTGCCCTTGAACTCACAGAGATCCACCTGTCTCTGCCTCCTAAGTGCTGGGATTAAAGGCTAAAGTAATGGTTCTTATTTTATGCCGTAATACACTTTTCAATTTGATAAGAATTCACCACAGCGAGTTGGTATTAACTAGTACCTGGTCTATTAAAAATTTCTGATTGAGAACATAGTTTTCCAGTTGGCCTGTGTGAGCCATGATGCAGACTCCACTCAGTGTGAGTGGTATATCTTTCTCTTCTAGTCTTAGCTGTCCTGCCCATTGTCCCATCACATTTTCCATATCCAGATTTGTCTCACTGAGTAAACTGTGAGACCTGCTTCCGGACTTTCTGCACCCTGCAGACTGGAAGTGACTGTGGAGGTGTTTCATTTGGATACATGCTTTTGGCAGGAAGCCCCATGGATGATGACATAGTCACTTCAGTGCTGCTTCCTATTCTGTACTGTGAAAGTTCACTTTGTTTCTTTGTCTGAGAGGGTGTCATGTAGACTAGGCTGGCCTCAAACTTCATATGTAGACTTAAACTTGATCCTTCTACCTCTGCCACCCAACTAGCATTGTAGGAATAAGCTATCACACTTAGCTGCAAGAATGTACTTTATAAGCATTGCTATTAAAGTCTGGCATGTTCTGGGTGGCTACTTTCTCAGCATGTCCCTGTATAGCTTGGAGCTGAAGGCAGCTTGCTCAGTGTTAGCCTGTGCAAACAGGGCATACCAGATAGCCCTTCAGTGCGTGGTATTGAGCACGCACTGGCATTGGGTGGGGAGAGGGTAAGAACCACTTTGCACAAAGGTGAAATATGCACAGTTGGTCCCCAGCAGCTGATGTAGGGATGCTTTTGTGCCTCAGCTAGTGGCTCCTCTGGTGGAGAATTAAAACTCAACTGTGACTTCAGTCCTTCCTCAAAGGAGTATTCTGTGTCCAAGATTATTTTCTCCCTGCTTTTCTAGTGGAAATGTTTTTACTCAGACTCTCCTAAATGTGTATTTTATTTTGAGGCAATTGCATATATCCTGTAAATCATCCTGTTTAGGACATGGTCAGGGGATGCCTTAGGTCTGCAGAGTCAGGGCAGACAGCCTGATTGCAAGCCTGCCCATAGTCTAGTTCTCTTTGTGAAGATGGGACTTACTGACAGTATGGAAAATATCTCCAGCTCCAGGTGAACAAAGTGTGGTCTGGGTAAGATTTTTGCTTAAAAGTAACAGGCACAGAGTCATCTGGAAAATACACAGGATGGGAAAACAGCATCAGGTGGCCTAATCAGTAATACCATTTGCCCCTCTCCCTTCTAACCCTGTACCCCAAAGTATTACTCAGCAGTCCTGGTGGCTTCTAGAAGCGCTGAGTCATGCTTGGCTCAGTTATCTGCTCCTTCAAGCATCTCTATAGACCCCACAGTGGCCTGCTCCACCCTTGGTCTGGGTGTGTACACCTGCTGGGTGACTGTGGTCTCTGATAGGTTTCAGAGGGGTGAGGGACACTTCTAACCTGAGAACCTTTTGCATGCTACTTTGACCTAGTCAGTGTGGATGCAAAATGGGGGGTGGGGAGGCAGGATGATTGGGCCTACTGGTATTTTGGTTAATTTAGGTCTTCTTTTCTAGGAAGAACTCACCCCTGACAGATATTTAGCAAACTGCATAATGCTTCTGTATTACATGTTCTGTAACAGTGTGGCCTGTTGTGAATGAATTCCTATGTCCTGTAGACCAGACATGTTCCTGAATGGTCAGTGCATGGCAATGATTACAGATACCTCCAAGATTTTGCTCAGGGCAGCCTCTGTTCTGAGTGCTGTATGTGTTTGACTAGCTTTCTCTGCTCAGTTGGGTGTCCTTTCTCAGATGAGGACCTGTGACCCAGACCACATAACAGGTGGGTGCCCTGAGCTGTCCCTTCTTTTCTATATAGACCTAGCATAGTGGGAATGTGTTCCCCATAGAGAATTCCCATAGAGTCATTACTGCAACCCTCTAGACAGTTGTTCCCGAGATATAAAAATAAGATGGGGTGTCAGCCAGCATTTGTGTAGGTAGGCTGTAGACATGCACAGGGAATTCTGGACGGTAATTACGATGAGGAGGAGCCTAGTGGAGGGAATGGAGAGGACCTTTTTCATGGTCTGCACTTTTGCTGTGCACATGTATAAGCTCCTTTTAAATTATATGTCTCTGTATACATATTTTGAGCATTTGGCCTCTCTCACGCAGGCCAACGCTGACCCATCAGTGATAAACTGTCTACATAACTTGTCCCGGCGCATTGCCACTGTCCTGCAGCATGAGGAGCGCCGCTGCCAGTACCTCACTCGAGAGGCCAAGCTGATCCTAGCACTTCAGGATGAGGTATCTGCTATGGCTGACGGTAAGTGTGGCTGCCTGGTGAGCATGGGTCTGTTCTGGCTGATGACTTCTCTTGGTGTCGTATCTCTAGAGGACCAATTGATCACTATGCTTTGATTCGAGGCAATTGCAGATAGTGCTACTAATTGGCTCTCTAGTTTCAGGGACACTATTGAAGAGATCCTCTATGTAGAAAAGGAGGGCTTGCTGCCTGATTGCAGGTTTGAGCACATGCCAGTTCTCTTTGTGGACTAAGTACAGAGAATCTCTCTACCTCTCCCATACCACAACAGAATAGTCAGAAGCTAACCAAAGCTTTGACTTTTGGTGAGCTGGACCCTGGAGAAGAAGTCTTACAGCATCTGGTAAGCAGAAACTGGTCAGAGAAGTTACAGCTTCCTCACACTGAGCTGGTCATGACCAGGGGCACAGGAAGGCTCTTCCAGGTGTTTGCATATGGACCTACTTCCCTAAATGGATGGGTCTGAATTGATAGCTATAGGAAATACCCCACACACTGCTGTGTATCTCTGCCTGGCATTGGTTCTGCTAGACAAATTTGCCCTGGGTTGGGAAACTCAGGGAGGGGCTATTAAGATCATCCTGCTGGTAAAATGGGTGATTTCCATATTTTTGGCTGTTAAATTGAAGAAGAATCTAACTATATCCCCTAACCAATTATAAGAAATAGTCTTTGCTGATAGACATGGTAATGTTTGTTGGGCCCAAAAGATCAAACACAGGAGAGAAACTGGTAACAACCTTGGCCTCCTTTTGATAACGTTAGCAGCTATAGAAGAAAGAATGAAATCCACCTGCCTTTGCCTCCTGAGTGCTGGGATTAAAGGTGTGCACCACCACTGCCCAGCTAAAGTGGTGTATACCTTTAATACTAGCTCTTGGGAGACAAAGGCCAGTGGATCTCTGATTTCCAGGCCAGTCAGAGATAGAGAGACCCTGTCTGCAAAACAAAAAACACTTGTATTGTGGGCCTGAAAATAGTTATTGTGATTGTTTAGTATATGTGAGGCTCTGGGTTCCAGCCCCAGGACCCAAAACAAAATGACAACAAACACACACACACACACACACACACACACACACACACACACACACACATATATATTTTAAGATTTATTGATTTATTCTATATAGTGTTTCTCCTGTATGTGTACCTGCAGGCCAGAAGAGGGTTCCAAACAAAATGACAACACACACACACACACACACACAAACATATATATTTTAAGATTTATTGATTTATTCTATATAGTGTTTCTCCTGTATGTGTACCTGCAGGCCAGAAGAGGGTTCCAGATCTCATTATAGATGGTTGTGAGCCACCATGTGGTTGCTGGGAATTGAACTCAGGACCTCTGGAAGAACAGCCAGTGCTCTTAACTGCTCAGCCATCTCTCTAGCCCCCACTTATATTTTCTATTTTAGTTAATTATAATAGTTAATAATCCAGAAATTTTATTTCATCTTCTTCTTTGATGATACTTACCTTTAATTTTGGAGGCAGAGGCCGATGGATCTCTGTGAATTCGAGGCCAGCCTGGTCTACATAGTGAGTCCCAGTCTAGCCAAGGCTACATGGTGAGACCCTGTCTCAAAAGGAAAGAAACAGACAAACTTACAAACAACAACAAAAATCTGTTAAAAAATTAAATGTTAAAAAAAAACGCATTCACCAGGTGATGGTGGCACACACCTTTAATCCCAGCACTTGGGAGGCAGAGGCAGGTAGATCTCTGTGACTTCGAGGCCAGCCTGGTCTACTGAGTAAGTTTCAGGACAGCCAGGGCTACACAGAGAAACCCTGTCTCAAAATAACAACAACAACAACAACAAAAGAAAGATCTTATTGTACATATTTTTATTAGTGATTCATGAAGATTAATAACAGATATTTCAGTCATAAAAACAAATCTCACTAGCATACAGGAGTGGGAAGAGGAGTGGGGTATGGCATGGGAATACCGGTCACTGCAGCAGAAGGTGGGGTCTGATGATTCAAGAGACACTCCTTCCAAGTGAGGCTCCTGTGGCTACAAGGTTGTGTAGACCAGTGACAAATTTAAATGCAGACATTTCATACAGAAATAATTTCACAGGTCAATGTGAGTCTATTTTTATTTTACAGGGATCAGGGATACACTGATTTATTATTATTATTGTTATTATTATTACTGCAAGGGGTTTCTTGATGTTATTTTAACATTGCTTTAGCATTACTTGTTAATGTTGAAATGTTGGATTTGTTTTAAAGATAGTTCCTGTTCTGGCCTGTGCGTGTTTATTTGCTTTGTAAAAACAAAAAACAAAAAACAACAAAAATCAGGTAAATCCTTACCTATTGTGATTCTTGTAGCAAATGAAGGTCCTCAGTCCCCGTTCCACCACATTCTGCCCAAGTGTAAGCTGGCTAGGGACCTCAAAGAAGCTTACGACAGGTAAGACAGGGTTATGCTTGTCTAATCTCCGCTTCCTGGGTCACCTTCCCCCATCCTCCAGAGCTGAAACATCCCACAGACAGTGCTGCCATAGGCTGGGTAATAGTCTGGCGTGTGTGTGCTGGAGCTCTGCTGAGGTAGGAACAAGGGATGTCAGGGAAGGGACAGCTGTGTGGCCACTCTTCAGGAAAGTCACCTTGGTGTCCACTTTTCAAACGGCAGCCCCTTTGTTGAGTGGTATGTACTTGGCAGGGACACACCACTCCAGACCCTTTTAAAACAGAGGATTGTGCAGAGTTATGCACAGAAGCCTGAAAAGTTTTTTTTTTTTAACCATTAAACATTTTATTGAGCTTAACTTACTACCAAGTTCTTTGCCACCTATATCATTGAAGGCCACCTCTTCACACATGAGGAAATCAAGGTTCAGTGTTCAGTGGGTAAAACTGGAGTTGACTGTCATAATCTGGGCTCCAGGAGAGCTGGAGTTTGAGACACTGACTATATGGGGTCAGCAAGTATTGGGGACACGATGGAAACTTCATGTTGATTTGATTATATTGGTGGCCGAACACTCTATTAAAATGTAAACAAAATACTTAATTGTGTGTGTGTGAGTGATAGAGTCTCACTAAGTAGTCTAAGTTGGTTTGAGACTTCAGATCCTTCTGCTGGGATTACAGGTGTGTGACTCTAGTTTTTTCTGTTTTGTTTGTTAGACTGGGTTCTTTTATGTAGCCCTGACTGGCCTGGAACTAACTCATTTATGTAGACAAGGCTGGGCTACATGGCATCTAAACAACAAAGTAAAAGGAAAACCAGGGACTTTAGATTTCTAAAGAAAAGAGTGGATGGGGATTGTGGTGGAAAGTTGGAAGGAAATGAGACTTTACATAGTTTTGTCATCCACCAGGCACAGCTCAGGGCTTGATGCCTCCCAGCGCCACCTAGTGGACCAATTTGGAGGAACACAGGAATTTGAGCTTTTGGAATTTCTTACCAGAAAGGCTACTTAAGATTCTTCTAGCCAGATAACCTGTTTGTTAGTACGCAAGGTCTCACTCCTCCAGGTGAACTTCCACACCAGCCAATCCTGGGTCTTAGAACCTGTCTTGGGGAGGCTGAGAGCAACACTTCTCTGGCAGGATGTGGCAGTTGTGACCACCCATCTGGTATTGGCACAGCTCTGTAATTGCCTAGTAGCCCTCTTGGCTTGATTTTCCCCCAGCCTCATCTCACAAGGTTGGTCTCAAGGTCCTGTTCCCTCAGCAATGAAAAGGTATGGCTGACTGTACAGTAGCTGGGTAACTGTCTCCTGAAAGCAGGTTCCTGCCAGATTCCTGAGAAAGATCTTCTCAGAGAAGACCTAAAGGACAGGAAGTTGTGGGCTTAATTGATGTAGAGCTTTGAGAACATCTTTTCAACAGAATTGTTCTGAATTTACTATTTTAGCCAAAGCCAGGGTCCCTATGTGTCTGTGAATATAGAATGGAAGTAGGAACCTCTTAGGAGGTCATCCTGACTGTTCCAGTACCTGTCTCTTATGGAACTCCATGAGCCCCTGTGACCCCTGAGTTCCATTCCTCAATAGGACAGGAGTGTCCCTTCACTTTCTGTACATAACCCTTTGCCTAGCTCATCCACTGAGAGTTAAAGGAATATGTAATGGCAGGAGAAATGATGATATAAATCCCCTGGGGTATGAAGAAATGTTCTGTTGAGTAATTCTCTGAGTTGACGGACTGTGGTAGAGTCTGGGAGGCTCAGCTCTTGGGAATTCTGTCTTAGGCCTGGCCAGGCACTGCTGGCTGCTCAAGAGCAAGAGCAAGCCTGTGGATGCCTCTGAGTATTCTGAGAGCTATAATCTGTATTTCATAAGAGTGTACCTATACGTAAAGTTTTGTTTGACGTCTCAAGGACTTTTGAAGCCTTCCCACGTCTCTTGGTTTGTGCAGCATCCTACCACATGTGCAGGAAGATTGACTGCTGCTGTGTGGGTCAGAGGACACAGCACACATGACAGAGTCTCAAAGTAGGAAGAGGATGAGCTGAGCTGAGTCAAAAGTGACCCTTTGGTTCTTAGCTAAAGGTAGGAGTTGAGGAGTGAGGAATGAGATAAGCTTGCACAGGGTGCCTCTTGGGTGTGGACCGCAGGGTCTTGGTGCTCTGCACAGTCATGGTGTGCAGATGCAGGGCTCCGGCAGAAGCATTATCTCTTGTCACAGAAAGGGCTGGGCTCTTCTGCTGTGAGGGCTGGATAAACTTGGGGATAGTGTTTGTCTGCAGAGTGTTTTCAGACTAAATAATTAAACACCTGCAAAAAGAAACGCAAGCTTAGCAGGAAACTTTTCTGGTGTAGACCCTGGTTTTGTCTTGAATTGCAGATTATAGAAGTAGGGACAGCCCCGTTTCTTCCCTTCTTAACAGGCGCTAGTGTGTTCCCTGGTTTACCCTCTTACTGTGAAGGATTCACTTGACTTTCTCCAGAGCTACAGGCTAAAGTTGGGCAGGTGCGTTTCTGACGCTCCCTGACCTCCAGTGTGCTCCAGAGGTTTGTCTAGAAGTGCATCTGGTCCTCAGGGGACTCCTAATGGCAGCGCTCAGTGTCTCCACTCCACAGAGCTTGGTTAGATTGTAAAGAGACTCCAGCTCAGCACAAAGTATTCAGAGGGAAAGCCACAGGCTGGGGATCCAAAGTCATCTGTCATGAGGATGGTAGAGACACCTGAGCTGTGAAGGTATTATAAAGGCCTTAATGTGTCCCTGGTTTCCCTCATGCCCTCAGCTAGCATTTAAGCCTGGCCTATACACAAGTCTCTGATGTGCCTTTCTCTGTAACTCTGTGGTTTATACAATTTGCCAAAGGTTGTCTTTCTCAGTGCCAGCCAGAGATTCTCTCTAGTGCAAGGCTGTAATTTGTCTTCTTTCTTGCTGTACTCCAGGAACCTGAAACAGTATTTAGAGTTGCACCTACCAGATGGTTGTTACAGCACCACTGAGGTCCTTGGTGGAGCAGAATCATTTGTATTTGAAATGATAGGAGTCATGGCATTTGATTCTGATTCCATGTTGTTCCAACAGCTACCCTGTGCTATACCCTAAATAAGAGAGTTTAAAAATAGGACCTATTATTTCTTCCCTTTATGACCATGAGTAAAGCTAATTGGAGGAGGCAGGCTAGTATTTGCATGGGCATGACTCCATGCAACGTACTCTAACCTTCTCTCCTCTTGCCCTTCTTTTCCCATCTGTGTATGGATGCTGAGATCTTATCATGATGCAGTGTTTCCTTAGGTGGTTTCTCAAGGTTGGTTGTGAGCTTTCCATGCACTCAGACATGCTTTGGTCAAGGCCCATTTCTAGAAGAGGCCAAGAATGTTGAGTTCCTCAGGGAGTCTGGGTCTTTGACTCACATCTTGACACTCATTAAACCATCTAGTTTGTTTCTCCCTGAGGGAATGTGAACCACAGTTGCCCTCAGTCACAGCGTGGTACCCATCCTCTACCCTTCCTCAGAGGTGCTGAGGCTCTGGGAGAAGCACATATAGATGTTCGGGTGCCATGGCATGCTTTGCATTGAACAGTCAGTCAGTGCTGCAGGGATCCTGGGGGAGTGAGGGCTCACAGATATGTTCTTCCATGTTTCCTTTCCTCATGCTTAGTCCCACCTTGAAGGAGAAAAGACCTAGTTTTTGCATTTGAAACTGTTGGCTAGAGTTCCTGGCAACTCTCTGGAGAAATTCAGAAGCTTAAGGCTCTTGGTTTATTGCTGGAGGCTTCAGGGAAGAGGCTATAATAGTCCTCGGCAGCTATATTGTGATACATGCTAAGATCTCAACACTTCGGAGGTAGAGGCAGGAGGATCACACATTTGAGGTCAGCTTGGGGTTACACAGCAAAATCCTCTCTCAAAACAAGGCATGGGCATGGTGACACACACACCTTTACTTTCAGCTCTTGGAAGGCAGGCAGGCAGAGTCTGTGAGTTTGAAGCCAGCCTGCATATTGAAACCTAGGACAGTCAGGGCTACATACAGAGACCCTATCTCAGAAAAAGAATTGGAAGTGGGGAGAAAAGTGTGTTTTCTCGGGCCTGAAGCAAGGACCTTGTTTCTCCCACAGTACCCAACGTTTACACCTTTGACCTAGGCAGGAAGAACTCTTGCCACCCCTCCTTGAGCTGCTGGCCTGCCCTAGGCTTGGCCGTTCCCATACTGGGCGCTGAGAATAGCAGCAGGGTGGGTGGTGATGGGAAAGTATTTCTTGGCTGCTCTTCTGGGTAGGAGGCAGCAGAGGAAACAAGATGGGGGAAGGTGCTATAGAAATTGGCAGTTTGAAAACCAAGTGATGTATCCTGTTTGTTTGTTTGAGAACTGAAGTTACCATGAAGCTTTAGGTTATGTTTCCTACATTGGATGAAGGAGGCTACCTGCCTGGTTTGCTCTGAGCTTGACTGGGTTGGGGCGGATGATAACTTTCTCGTGCAGAATAAATAAAGTCACAGGAACTTTGCCTAAGCAGTTGCTTTTCTCCCTTTATGTCATTCAACTGCAGAAATGTGCTAACATGCTTCTTTCCCACATAGCATATAGACCTGAACAGATTCTGTTTAATGAACACGTGCTGTTGGCGCTTAACACAAGGACTGTGGCTGAGCCATGGGGCGGGACTCCCCCTTTGCACAACCCGTTCCTCCTCCTGTGTGTGTTTCTTCCACATGTCCATAGTGGAGCCTGTCCTCAGCAAGGGCTTTCTGGGCAGACAGTTCTCCTAAAGACCATTGCCTAACTCTGGGTTCCCCCTGCTCTACTCATGAGTGCTTTGTATGTCTATGGTGTGGTTGGTCAGGACAGCATTAGATAGCAGACAGGTCATGAGCACATGGGTGCAGGGTGAGGGCTCAGAGTGAAGGTGGGACCAGGAGTGCCTCATGGAGAATGTGGCTTCAGTTGAGACTAAAGTAATGATACTTTACTTTAGGCATTTGGGGAGATAGTCCTTGGCAAAATTTAAGTGCCAAGGTCCTGAGAGTGGCTAGACTTGAGAGATGGGGCAGGAAATGAGAGCAGAAAGTGTGTACAGGACACAGGTCCTCTATGTTGGAAGACCCTGGATGGTACTACCCAGGTAGAAGCTGTGAGGAAAGTGGTGCTGGTTGTCTGGGCAGCTCTGGTCTGGTGTTACAGGAAAGGTCTGGATTTTGAACGTTTTTCATGTAGAGCACATAGGATTTATTGATGGTTTGAGCTAGGGCCAGTGCTGCCATGTTTGACCGGAACATGTTGAAGCTGAGGCTGTGTGTCAGTCACTGAGGATGTGGAGTAAAGGTTTGCCGTGGTACAGTGTTGGGGCTGCATGGTCTCTTGTTTGTCCTCTGACCTGTGTCACTGCCACCACCAGCAAGGGTCCTGGCGGCAGGTGCTTTGTGCTTCTTACCATTAGTGTTCTGTGGAACTTGGCAGCTTCCCTCTTCTACCCATCTCTTTTCTTTGGAGATAGGTCCTGTCTTGCCCAACTGCCCACCTGTGTCTGGGTCATCTCAGAGAGGATGGGCTCTGGTTGCCAGGTGTCTGTCTGCCATGGGCCCAGGCAGGCAGCCAATGACTCTGCTACATTGATTTCCCAGGAGGGAAAGAAGCACTTTCCTTTAGTCCTAACAGGCTGATGGGATTATATTCCAGGGAGGGAAAAGGGGAGAGAAAGGAAGGAAGAGACGGGGGCTCGTGTGTGTGTGTGTGTGTGTGTGTGTGTGTGTGTGTGTCTGTCTGTCTGTCTGTCTGTCTGTCTGTGTCTGTGTCTGTATGTGTATTATTAACATGTACTTAGGTATATTGAGATCTGAAAAAATACTCTCTTACCCCTGAGCTCTCCCTTATGTTTTCCTCTAGCCAGCAGGGCAGCGTGCAAGGCCAGCATCTGTGAATAGGGTGCTGTTCTAGGGGAATGGGCAGGTGGCTGCTGTACTAACGGTGCCACTCTTTACAGCCTCTGCACATCTGGTGTGGTGCGGCTTCACATTAACAGCTGGCTGGAAGTGAGCTTCTGTCTGCCCCACAAGATCCACTATGCAGCCTCAAGTCTGATCCCTCCCGAGGCTATTGAGCGGAGCCTGAAAGCCATCCGGTGAGAGCCAACCCCATCATGCCTTTCCTGGCAGCTGCTGCCTTTGACTTTACTGGTTACTTTGTTCCAGAAATTCTCTTCCTCCTGCCACAGAAGTTGGCAGGCAGGACTTTGCTCTTAGTAAAACCACATGATTTTATATCCAGTTCTGCCCAGAAATGACCCATCCCAGGTTTTTTTCTGGGCCCTCCCAGCGTAGTCTGGCTGAGTAGAACCAACCAAGGGCCTCACTCAGGCCTGCAGGGCAGCTTGGGGCTAAGTTAGGACTCTAGATTGCCTTCATGGTCCTATACACTCAGTAATTTTCAGCATTTCAGCCCGAAATCATGGGAACCCCAGTAGTTTCTTAGATTAATTGATTTCCTGCAAGGACAATCTGGAACATGAGCACTACAAAGAAGAAAAAGATGGAGAGAAATCTGGGCACATTCCTCAGCACTGGGAATGGCAGAAGCAGAGCACGCATTGCCCAGTCCTCCCACCCTCCCACATCTGTGCTGAAGTCAAATGGCCTTCTTTCTTGCTGTGCATATTTGTGTAGTTCTATTCATAGTTGGTCCAGATTTTGTTTTCCCTATTTTAAAAAATTTCCCCTCTTTTTCTTTCTTTTTTTTTTTTTTTGTGGTACTACTAATGGTTGAACCTAGAGCTTTACACAAGCTAGGTAAGCACTTTACCACTAAATGCATGCATACACACACACACACACACACACACACACACACACACACACACGTATTTCTCCCCTCATGACAGGGTCTCTCTGTCTTCCTGGCTGTACTGAATCTCACTATGTAGACCAGGCTGGCCTTAAATTCACAGAGATCGACCTGCTTCTGCCTCCCAGGTATTGGAATTAAAGGCCTGTGAGCTCTTCTTTCTTTCTCTTTCTTTTTTTTTTTTTTTTTTTTTTTTTGTTTTTCGAGACAGGTTTCTCTGTGGCTTTGGAGCCTGTCCTGGAACTAGTAGACCAGGCTGGCCTTGAACTCACAGAGATTCCTGCCTCTGCCTCCCAAGTGCTGGGATTAAAGGCGTACACCATCGTCCTGCTCTTCTTTCTTTCTCTTTCTTCCTTCCTTCCTTCCTTTCTTTTTCTTTCTTTCTTTGATTTTTCGAGACAGGGTTTCTCTGTGTAACAGCCCTGGCTGTCCTAGAACTCATTTTGTAGGCTGGACTTGAACTCACAGAGATCTTCCTGCCTCTACCTCCTGAGTGCTGGTATTAATGGTGTGTGCCACCAACGGTTGACTTTTTTTTTAAATTTATTTTATATGCATTGATGTGAAGGTGTCAGAGCCATGAAACTGGAGTTACAGACAGTTGTGAGCTGCCATCTGGGTACTGGGAATTGAACCCAGGTCCTCTGGAAGAGCAGCCAGTGCTCTTAACTGCTGAATCATCTCTCCAGCTCCCCCCCTTTTTTTTTTTACTTTTTAATATTATTTGTTTATATGTCTGTGTGCATGAGGATGTACACATGTATAAGGTCGGCAGAGATAGGCAGATCTCCTCAGGCTTGGTGGCTAACCATTCTAGCCAAATTGGCAAGTTTCAGGTTCAATGAGAGGTCCTATCTCAAAAGATAAGGTAGAGAGCTGGACATAGTAGTTTTGTTCTAATCCCCTCACCCCCACCCCAGGATAGCAGTAATCCTTTCAGATTTTGTAAAAGCTACTGGACACATCACTGCTTTCTCTGATTTCTCCATTAGCCTCTCCTGCCCACAGTTCAGTGCCTGTGAACTCTGACCATGCCTTGGTGTTCCAGGCACTTACCTGGTACAGGGCCTATGGCCCTTCATGATCCGCTGACATGTACCTCTGTCCTTCAGCCCGTACCATGCCTTGCTGCTACTCAGTGATGAGAAGTCTCTGCTGGGTGAGCTTCCCATTGACTGCTCTCCGGCTCTGGTGCGGGTCATCAAGACCACATCTGCTGTGAAGAACCTGCAGCAGCTAGCCCAGGACGCTGATCTGGCCTTGCTGCAGGTATGCCGGGGACCTGGAGAAGTGGGAAGAGGCCTATGGGTACATTTAGGGAAGCAGTCTGTTTGTCAAGCTGTATCTCCATGGCCCTTGTCTAGCACACAAATAGATAACTACATACATGACCTGCCACAGATCAGGGTAGTCTGGGTGGGAGGCCTGGGGTTCTGACTTCTGAGTCACACCTGGTTAGAGCTGTCTTTGTCAGCATTGGCATGACTCCCTTCTCTCTTGAGCAGAGGTGAGACAAGCCATGAGAGAAATAGAGAGATGGTCCTAGCAAAGGCCTGGAGGACAGCTTGGGGAGGGTAGCACATAGCTCAGGACAGTCACAGTGACACAGGCACACGTGTGCTAACTTGCCCTGCCGCGTGTGCTTCTTTCCTTTGCACATTTCTGCACCTTTTATTTTACATTTTTTAAAATAAAGTATGTCTTTAACAATGAGATATGCAGAGATTCAGCCTTATTCTAGAGATCAGTTAAGTCCAGTCAGAGAAAGCCTTCCCTATAGGACTGAGAATTTGTTTAATGCCTGCAGGACTAGTATCTAAGTTCATTATTGGCCCACATGTATCCCTTTTGTTCCACTGCCCCCACCCCCTCTTTTGTTTCTCACCCAGCCCCAAGAGTCATCAAAATACCCTCATTCTCCAAGAGGCTGTGGGCAGAGCTGTAGAGACACCAAGAGAGAAACAACTGATGAGGTTGTCCTCAGAAATGTGCTCCACCGCAGGGGAGCACTGTGTCCCAGACCACATGCTGGATCCCACTCTGGGCTCAGAGGGAGGCCCCTCAGCCTTGTCTGTGTTTCTGGTTGAAGTGTGGTGGAGGAAAAGCATAGAAGAAGCCAATGTTCAGGGGCTTGGAGTGCTTACCAGGTTTCCTATGCCAGGGCTGTAAGTGAATGGATGCCAATATCCAGTGGTGTGCACCCTGTGGCCACCAGGGGGTAGCAAAGGCCCACCTGGGGAAACCTCTGTTTTCTCAAAGGCTAGACTTCTCAGTGGAATGAAGTGGCCACAGTTCTGAGGCAGGCCCTCTTGGATCCCTCTAGCTAGGCCTCCTAGCTCTGTGTGAGAAATGAGTTGGTACTGCAGGTAGGTTTGGGCCTATTGGGTTGCTTTTTTCAAAATCCTTTCTATTCTCAGAATACATTCATCCCTCTCTCTATCTCTGGCTCTCCCTGGGCTCTGTGAGAGCACTTAGCATATCCTGCCTTTATATTTCACCTTGACCTCCTAAGCTGGACAAGACCTGGCAAGGACCACATTCTGCTTCCCTCTGTAACATTTAAGACTCAGAACTTTGAATATATTTATTGTTCTGAACCTCCACAGAGAGGGGGCTGTGCCACTGTTGTAAAGAGTTCAGGCTACATAAGTGATGGTGTATTTTCACTTCTAGTCCCAGTTTGGGTAGAGTCTGTGCTAGGACTGGGCCTGACCCTCACCATCACAGTCCTCTTTGATAAACCTTTGATGTCTCCTCCATTTCCTTGCCTTGGACTTGTCTGGGATCAGGGAGGAGGGTGTTGTTTCCTTCCGTACCAGCTCCCTGCTGAACCTGATATAAATAGAGTTTACTACTACTATGCTTGTGCCTGTGAGTTCTAGCCCTGGTGGTTCTCCTCACTGTGCTCTGGGCTGCTGTTTCCTGTAGGTGTCCCCGTGGAGTACAGTAGCCCCAGGGTGGTACTGGGACTTTAGGGGGACATCTGCCTCGGGTGTGAATGTCATACATAATATAAGATCACTCTGATGGGCCTTGTGGTACACGTGTATAATTCTAGCCTCAGGAGGCTGGGGTGGGAGGATCTGAGTTCAAGGCTAGCCTGGGCTACAAAGGGAGACCCTGTCTTCAAAAGCAAGACAAAACAATTAGAAAATCACTCATACCATATCAATCCAGAGAATGTTAACACTTTGGGAGTTTTATCTTGATAAAATTACTAATAAGTCGGACTGGAGAGGTGGTTCATTGTGTTGTTCTTGCAGAGCACCTGAGCTGCATTCCTAGCACCCAGATCAGGTAGCTTGACCGGAACTCTAGTTCCAAGGGCTCTGATGCCTTTGGTCTCTGAGGGCACCTGTACATGCCTGAACATATACACACACACACACATATATATATATGTAATTAATACAAATGAAAAATTACTAACAGTCATGAAAGTTCAAATATAACATAAATTACAGCTCAGAAAGTCCCTACAATCCTCTATTCCAGAGATAAACACTGAAGATCCTGTCAGTATTTGTTTGTTTGAATCAGCATCTTCTTATGCAGCCAGGACTGTCCTAGAACTTAGAGATCTACCTGCCTCTGTCTCCTGAGTGCTGAATTAAAGGCCCTTCCAGACTTGTAGTCTTAAGATAGGATGTCTTTTCTGTAGCCTTGGGTGAACTTTTTTGTTTTGTTTTGTTTTTGGGGTTTTTTTTGTTTGGTTTGTTTGATTTTAGAGATAAAGTTTCTCTGCATAGCCCTGGCTGTCCTGGAATTTGCTCATTAGTGCCAGGCTGGCCTTGAACCCAGAGATTTGCCTGTCTCCCGAGTGCTGGGACGAAAGGTGTGCACACCACTGCTTGGCCTGCCTAGCCAGTTCTTCTCTTCAGGGTTTTTTATTTGTTTGTTGAGACAGGATTTTTCTGTGTAACAGTCCAAATTCTCCTGGAACTCTCTTTGTAGACCAGGCTGGCCTTGAACTCACTGAGATCTGCCTGCCTTGGCCTCCCAAGTGCTGGGATTAAAGGCATGCACCACCACCGCCCGGCCCTCTTCAGGTTTTTAGTGTATACCCACATGGTTTTTGGCAGTACTGGTATTGAACCCAGGGCCTCATGACTGATTAGGCAAGCACTCTACTACTGAGCCTCAGATATCGTGCATATTAGATATTTTTAACAGTAGCAGAATTACAGTTATGAAGCAGCAGTGAAATAATATTATGCTTGGGGTCACCACAACATGAGGAACTGTATTAATGAGTTGCAGTATTAGGAAGATTGGGAACCACACATTGGCTTAGAGTTTTAAGAGTTCTTTGTTGTGGGGCTGGAGAGATGGCTCAGTGGTTAAGAGCATTGCCTGCTCTTCCAAAGGTCCTGAGTTCAATTCCCAGCAACCACATGGTGGCTCACAACCATCTGTAATGGGGTCTGGTGCCCTCTTCAGGCATGTACGTAGACAGAATATTGTATACATAATAAAGAAATAAATTAAAAAAAAAGAGTTCTTTGTTGTTCTTATAGAGGACCTGAATTTGGTTCTTAGCACCCAAGTTGGTCAGCTCACAGTCTCCTGTAACTCCAACTCCAGGGGATCTTACAGCCTCTTCTGGCTTCTATAGGTACATTAACACGAACACACACACAAAATAAAAAAAAAAATATTTTTAAGAAGGGACTTGAAGGAAAGTTGACTACAGAAGAGAAGGAGGTGATGTAAGTAAGAGTAGAGGTTGGCTTGATGCGGCTACAAGCCAAGGAATGCCAGGGGCTGGAGTAGACAAAGACAAATTGTTTGTTTGAACCCCCAAGGGGGCACAGATTTGCTGGCACCTTGGTTCCAGCCCTGTCATGCTGATTTTTGACTTAGTCCCCAAATGGTGTTCTGATTTCTTAGTGGAGAATTTTTAGGGGCGGAGAGAGGATGGGAATGGCAGAGAAAGTGCCACTAGAGAAAGTGGGCCTGGCTTTGCCTGAGAACTCATATCAGTGGCACTTGGGATAAGAGCAAAGTGGGGAAAGTGCGGAAACAACCATCTCACTGTTTCCTCCGTGTCTGAGCTGGTTGTTGGCAGATACCTGCCCTCAACAATATAACAGGCACTGTGTTCAGGCAGGAGAATTCACTACCCTGGGCCCATCTGCTGAAAGGATGGAGCGGGGTCTTGGTGATCTAGGTAGAATGTCATTGCTTGGATTTCACACAAGTTCTCATGAAGGTCTGAGGTGCTGTGTTTTCAGGTCTTGCTGCCCCCATGAAGTTAGCGTGTACTGGAGGCCATCCCTAGAAAGATTTCTGGTGTCTGTATTTCCTGGTATATGAGAGTCTAGCAGGGCAGGATGGTCTCTGGGGAAAGCAAGGTGCGTAGGGATGAGTTGGAACTTTGAGTATACTGGAGTGGAAACAAAAGAGACTCCATAATCATTACTTTGGAGAATGGTGCTGGAGTTCTAGTCAACATGGGAACACTATGCTTCTGGAATCATCCAGCCTGGGTGGGCTGATCAGGTTCCCCAGCACTTCAGTGTCCCTGTGTTCATGTGCCAACTGCCTAGCAAAACAGTGGTGCCAAGAAACACAGGGAACTCTGAATACAGAACCAGTGCTGTAGCTAGGCTTTCTCTGTCCCACCTGCCCAGTTTCCAAATAACCACACGGAGTCTTCTTATTAATTATGAAAGCTCGGCCTATAGCTTAGGCTTGTCTTACCAGCTCTAGTAACTTAAATTAACCTTTTCTATTCATCTATGTGGTGCCATGTAACTCGTGGCATTTACCTTTTGTCCTGCATGTCTTACTCCCTCTCCATCTGGCTGGCAACTCTCTTCTTCTTCCCAGCATCCTCTCTGCCCCCCAAATCCTGCCTTGCTATTGGCCATTCCCTTTTTTATTAAAGCAGTCAGAGTGACAGTTATTCACAGTGTTCAACACAGTGCACAACACAGTGCTGGTGGTACTCACTGGCCCCGAGGCTGGGGTGGTGCAGTGCTACTTTAGGTTGGAGGAGTTCCAGAGTGCATCCTTTCTAGGCAGGAAGACCATGGCCTCCAAGTTCAGTCCTTCCATTTCCCCTTGGTTTGCAGGTCTTCCAGCTCGCAGCTCACCTGGTTTACTGGGGCAAGGCGGTTATCATCTACCCATTGTGTGAGAACAACGTCTATGTCCTGTCTCCCAATGCCAGTGTATGCCTGTGAGTACCTTTGGCTGCCAACATCTTGAGTCTAGAGCTAGGAAGAGTCTAGCAGGACCTTCTAGTGGCACCCCCAGTGACCAGGCACCAGCAGCTTTGTAGCCCCGAGGCCAGCTCTAACTGGTCCTGATGCTGCCAATGGCTTGCTTAGGTGTAGATAGATCCCAGTCAGGTTTGGTGCTGCCCATGTTAAGCTGTCTCTTCCTGGCTGAGATCAAAGGGGTTCGGTGGTTCCTGACACATCTTGAGGGACGGTGCCTGCAACTCTCTCCATCCAAAGGCCTGCTAGGTCACCATACTTCAATCTGTGTTATTATGCCCACCCAGACAGTTGCTGTGAGCATGAGACTGCCTGTGACCACGGTTGTTTGCCCTAGGTACTCCCCACTGGCTGAGCAGTTCTCCCGCCAGTTTCCGTCCCATGACCTGCCATCCATCCTGGCTAAGTTTTCCTTGCCTGTTTCTTTGTCGGAGTTCAGGAGCCCTCTGGCTCCCCCTGCACAGGAGGTGAGTCACTAGAGTCCCTATGTGGCTGATGAGGTGGTCCTTGACCCAAAGGCCCTTAGCGCTGTTGACCTTTTGGCCTTGGTTTGGGGGACTTGCTGATGAATACTGCAGGCTTCCTGTGGTCCCCGGAGCCACCATGGTTATCCTCAGGTCCATGACTGGCTTAAGTTTGCCGGAGGGGCATTGGCTTTTCCTTGTGCTACCCCTGGACAAGGGGCTTCTCACAGATGGAGGCTGCAGACGGCTTTGTTTTCACTAAGCCTGGGCCCTGCTTTCCCTTCCTCTGGGGGCTTAGGAACCATGGGATCTTGGTGTGGAATCCTAGGGTCTCTGGGTCTATAGTCCTTTTCCTAAGACCTACAGTGCATCAGGCTAGGACTGTGTCTTGCCTGGAGGGCCTGGGTCAGGGCAGAGACTGGTAGTTGGAGGCTGGTTGTAGTGGGGTGCTTCTGAAGGTGCAGTGTGCTGCAGGGTCAGTCACTTTTCACAGCCCCATGCTCAAGAGATGGTGACTTGGAGCAGAGAGGCTTTGCCCCCTCCCCTCTATTAAGTGCTTTGAGCTATAGAAGGGGACCCAGGGGAGAGGACAGGTGTCTGAAACAAGCTGGGTGATCTCCATGCTTTATCTTCAATAGATGCCAGATACACTGGGCAAAATCAGTCCTTAAAGTCAAATACTTCCCCTTCTCAGATTGTGAATGGGAATAAGATCCTGGGTTTTCAGCTCATTTACATGCTGAGTGTGCCAGAGTTTAGAGCGGCCTTTCACAGAGCCCTTGGTTTCCAGGAACTGAGCCAGGAGGATGAAAGATACACTTTACATCTGTACCCTCCCTTCTCTCCCCCAGGCAGTTCTTGGGGGAGGGTCTGGCAGTGCTCCCATCCCAGCAGAAACTTCCCAGTTGTCTGGATAACGGCTGATCTTCCATGCTGAGCAGCTGCTTCAGGCCTTTTTGGGGGCTGGGATGGAGCTGTTTGGTTTGCCATATCCCAGGGAATACTGTCTAATGCTTACAAAGCTTTTGTGTTTTAGTTTTTACATTTTGTGTTTCAATAGCTTGAATTCCAGTCAGACCATGGTTGGTGTGTGTGTGTGTGTGTGTGTGTGTGTGTGTGTGTGTGTATTCCCTCCAGTAACCCAGCCCCGTTCCATGATCCATGAGTGACCTCCTGAGCAGCAGCTCTTCTGGGCCTCCCAAAGATGAGTGCACTGGTACTGTCTGTACCACCTTTGCTGCTTGGTGTCTGTGCCTGAGGGTGCTTTCCCATGGGTGCTGGGTACTGCCTGGCCAGTGTTCACAAGGCCTGAATGTGCCTTATTGAGGAAGAGCCATTGGCTGCACACCAGAGCAGTAGGTCCCCTTCCCATTTCCTTCTGGAATCATCTCTGTTCTCAGAGCAGACTTTTCAGGAAAAGCCAAGGACTCACAGGGCAGTTGCTTCTCTGAACAGTGTGTGGGCTTGCCTAGCAGTGGACTGTCTAATGGCAGCAGGTCTCAGTGGGCTGGAGTGAGGGAGGTAAGAACAGACCTTGCTGTAGGGAGAAGGGAAGGAGCCCAGGCATGTGATGGGAGCTAGTGCCTGTGTGGTCTGGGAATTCTAGCCCATTGCTTCCCCTTGGCTGAGCTGACCTTGCAGAGCTTCCCAGCAGCTGAGGGTCCCTTCTTCCAAATAGGAGGCCTTCATGCTTAGGTTTTGGGGCTGTTATGGGCCTCAGCTCTCTCATCCCCCAGGAACAGGATCAAGAGTGGAGTAAGGGAACCAGCCCACACTTGTCTACCCTGCTCACCCACAGACCCAGCTCATCCAGATGGTGGTGTGGATGCTGCAGCGCCGGCTCCTCATCCAGCTGCACACCTACGTTTGTCTGATGGCCTCACCCAGTGAAGAGGAGCCCCGACTGCGAGAGGATGATGTCCCCTTCACTGCCCGAGTTGGTGGCCGCAGCCTCAGCACGCCCAATGCCCTAAGCTTCGGCTCCCCAAGTAGGATCCCCATCCAGGACACCTGTCTGGTAATGGGGGGCTGGGAGACTTTGGTGATGGCATCCAGGAAGCCTGGGCACTGTTGGAATAAGAGATGTCTTTACATGTCTGTATACTCACCTGCCTCTTCCTCCTGCCTCCCCTGGGTCTGAGGGGAAGGCTCCACCCCTGAGCAGCTGGCTGTAGTTAGGGGCAGCCTTTGCCCACTGAAGCACAGCTGGATTCCCCTACTCCAGCCAGTGCTCAGAGCAGGGCCTCATACTGTCAACACAGGGACCACAGCTGTCTGTTGTTGGGTCCATGTGAACTCTGTCAAGTGCTTCATCCCCCATGTTGACTGAGGGGGGACAAGATACCCATGCCTGCTTTAGGGTAGAGTGGGTATGCAGCATTCTCTGTTCTGGGCCCTTGAAACTGTTCCTATAGGCAGCTCCTTGTGTTCCAGGTTAGCCACATAAAAGGCATACTACACACCTAGGAGGTGGGGTGGCAGTGAGTTCTTGCATGAAGGTACATGGTACAATTGGGCACCAGAAGGGGAGTGTGGCAGTGACCTCAGGATCTGGATGCTGTCAGTGCTCCCCATCTTGGCATAATTGGCATCACTTGGCTGTTCCAACCCCAGCCAGCAGTGATGACATGACCCTTACCAGCCCCAGTATGGACAACTCCAGTGCAGAGCTGCTCCCCAGTGGGGACTCGCCACTGAACAAGAGGATGACAGAGAACCTGCTGGCTAGCCTCTCAGAGCATGAGCGGGCTGCCATCCTCAACGTGCCTGCGGCCCAAAACCCCGAGGACCTCCGCATGTTTGCCAGGTAGGGAGCAAGTGACTGAGTGGGACATGGTGTAGGAACACTGGTATCCTTGCACAGCCACCGACTACCACAGCTGATGGTGGGTCTCCACCTAGGATTGGTATATGAAGGGCAGGAGTTATTGTCCAGGTGTGGGGGATGCAGGCTCTGGCCAAGCCCCTAGGTCTAGTGGGCAGCTTATTCAGAACTTCTGGTTGTACCTTGTCACTGCTTGAGAGGCAGCTACTTTCAAGTTCTGACTCGCTTGGGGCTTGGCACGAATATGTCCTAATTCTTGGCCCTGGGGAAAACTTAGGACCCTGTGTCATAGTAGCTTAATGTCTGCCATGTCCATCCTGACTTAGTTGTGGTAAGAGCATGGTGTTATGAGAGGGGTCAGGTTGTCATGTTCATGTTTGAAGAATCACACTGCAGACTGTTGGGGGACCATTTGCAACTCTTCTAAGTGCTGATCCAGGCCTGACCTGTTCCCTGGAGCAGACTGAACCCAGTGTCATAGGAGAATAAAGAAGCCTTTAGCACTTCTCCCTTCATTGGGTGCACAGCCTTGCTGCTTTGTGGACTCCCTTCAGGCCCACCTCCGGTCACACGGCTCTTCACAAGCTTGCAGGCAGCTTCCAGATCCACCCATCAATGGCTTTTGGAGTCCTTACTCCTTGTCTTGAGCTAGACTCATGCCACCCTCTCTTTTCCAGGCTCCTTCACTACTTCCGTGGCCGTCACCATCTGGAGGAGATCATGTACAATGAGAACACACGGCGTTCCCAGCTGCTCACGCTCTTTGACAAGTTCCGCAGTGTGCTGGTGGTGACCACCCATGAGGACCCTGTCATTGCTGTCTTCCAAGCACTGCTCACATGAGCCCAGGCAGCATGCCCGGTGGGAATGGGAACTAGCCTACTCCCTGCCCAGGGCTCCTGACTGGCCTTAGGAGGATGGGCAGCTCTCGTCTGGCAGAACCGGTTCTTGTTCCAGCTGTCCATCTGGTCAGATGTAGCTATGGGGCAACCACTGCTGGACTCTTCTTTTTTTTTTTTTTTTTGAGACAAAGTTTTGTGTAGCCTAGGCCTCACATGTGCTAGGTGGCCAAGGATGACTTTGAACTCCTGATCTTCTTGCCTCTGTCCCCATATGCTAGGATTACAGGCATGTGCCACGAATGTTACTTTCAAAAATATGTTTATTTATTTTTATTTATGGTTTTGTATGTGTGGGTCCCCAGAGGTCAGAAGAAAGCATACCCTGGAGCTAGAGTTACAGAGGTTGTGAGGCCTGGGTGTGGAGCTGAGAACGGAACTCTAGAAGAGCGGGAAGCTTTTAACCATTGCCACCTCTCCAGTCTGGTCCTTACAGCATCTTAACATTGCTGAAGCCGGGCGGTGGTGGCGCACGCCTTTAATCCCAGCACTCGGGAGGCAGAGGCAGGCGGATCTCTGTGAGTTCGAGGCCAGCCTGGTCTACAGGAGCTAGTTCCAGGACAGGCACCAAAAACTACAGAGAAACCCTGTCTCAAAAATCAAAAAAAAAAAAAAAAAAAAACATTGCTGAGCTGGAGAAGGTTTTCCATTATGTGTCTCTAAAGTCCAAGTCCTTCACACACACACACAGGTTGTATCTTTCTGATTCCTTTCCCAACCTGCCCCTTCTGCAACTATCCTTCAGCGTGTTTAGAGACTCGTTTAACTCATTCCTGCCCCTAGGTCTGTATGCCCATACACTGATGATTCTCCCCTCTCCAGTGCCATACATATGGGGTTACCAGGTTTCCTGACCCAAATGAAGAATTAACTTCATGTACACAAATTCTGGCTGAGACTTGGACAGTTCCCACAAACAAGATATTTATTCTACTTTTAAAAAATAAAAAAGCCCATCAGGCTGTTTGCTGAGCCTGATACATCTGTTCAGCCACTCTGTCAACCACACTGACCCACGGGCTGCCCTGGATATAAAAGCGCAGGGGCTTCTGGGTCCACTCCCCTGCATGACCAATGCCTATGCGAGCTGCTGCCACCACAGCTGGGCTGCTGGACTCCACAGGGCCACGCTCCAGCCACACAGCCTCATCTCGGGCCAGGTCTCGCTGATCAAAACTCTTATCAATGGCCAGGGCCTGGCACAGCTTGGACGGACCACTACAGAGCTCACGGTCCTTGAGTGTACGGCCAGCAGCGCTTTTCCGTTGGTTGTCGCGAAGCTGCCGCATGGTCTCCAGGCCCTCCAGGGGCTCTAGTGCTCGTAACAGGACACAAGCCCCAGCCCCTGTGGGACAGACAGACAGCCTGGAAGTAAACTTTAGAGCTCCTGCACATCCCCAGTGTGGCAGTGGTGCTGCCGCCTTCCCGCACGTGTAACCTGTATCTCCTGCACCCAGACATGCAGACCCCTCTGCACTCCCTTCCCTGTAGCATCAGCTAGGCTGCTCTGCCTTCCCTGAGTTCGTTGGGAAGCCTCTACCTGGCAAGACTGACAGCGAGACTCCCACCACTGCTCTCCAAAGCCAGAACTATGATCATCTAGTGCGAGTCAGTCCTTTCTGTAGCTTCCCCTAGTCTTGCCTGGTGGTGGCTATGAGGATGGCATAGGAAGCCCCGGAGAGCCTGCACCTCTGGGGTAGGAGGGACGCCATTCTACTAGAAAATGGTAAGTCAAGAAAGACTAGAAGGTGCAGTCCCTTGAATCTCTCCTCCCACCTGTACCTAGCTCACCAACTGGAACCGCCTCTGCCATTTCAGGGAGAAGCAGGACAGAGAGTCCCTGTGAGTGCAGGGCACATGATCCCTACTCTCAGCTCCCAGGGCCGCTTTATGTCCCGCCCTATCCTGGCTCCCTCTCATCTTCATGTAAACACCTTTGACTTCCATGTCCTTACCTAACTCCTCTACACATCTGCTTTAACTTGGCATTCCCACCTCTGCTCTGCTTGGCCCTGCAGCCCTCATCCTCTCCCCACACCCTCAGCAATCACACCTGGTCAAGTGCCAGTGATACCCGTGTCCTTAGCCTTTACTCAGCATGGATGACCCTCACCAATACCTTGTACACCCTTGTGGGAATTTGCCTCCAGCCTGGATGTTCTTGGGGTGTTTCAGTTACATGTTCACCCTGCCTCTGCCTTGTTCACCATGTCTCAGAAACCAGCATTTCCCCCCCCCCCCCCCAGAGACTATAGCACTAACCATCTCTGGTTTTGTTTCCTTAGTTCAGCCACTAGCAGGGTCGGTTCTGTCCAGGAAGGCTTCTGTCATCTTTCTCTCTTTCTCTTTTTTGTAATTTTGCTTGTATGTATGTATGTCTGTACGCTTGTGCATCTGGTGCTGACAGAGGCCAGAAGAGGGCACTGGATCTCCCGGAACTGGAGTTAGGGTTGTGAGCTGCCATGTGGAGGCTGGGAAAAGAACCCAGGTCCTCTGCAAAAGCAGCCAATGCTCTTAACCACTGAACTACCTCTCCAGCCTCCTCTCATAATGATGTCTAGTCATCCATAGTAACACTCAGTATCAGCTTTGTGATAGGCACAGAGCCAGTCACCTCTAGCTTCCAAACCCCTTGCACTGGACACCCTTAGCCTTCTGCTAGGGCCAACCTGCAGTACAGGTACTTGTCCAGCAAATCAAGAACTTTGGGTCACTTTGGGCAAGCAGGAGGATATTAAGCACATATGTTGAGATATGCCAACATGTTCCTGGCCAGTGGTGGCTTTGGTAGGATGATACTGGTTCTTCAGACTCAGACCACTGGGGGTGATGCTACATGCTTGTCAGGACAGCTGGACCCCAGAGGAGAGTCGGTTTCTCTCAGGAACACTGCACCAGTAACCCTCCACAAATGCTATCTGGGGCCAAAAGGTCCTCTGTGGTTACTGCAGAGTTTCTAGAAGCATCCCTAGCTAGTTACGATAACCAAATATGTCACCAAACATTGCTGATGTCTAAGGGGGCAGAAGTGCTCCTGGATGAGAGTAACTGAGCCAGATCCCATAATAGGGCTTTTGGCAAGGTTCCTGTAAGAGCCCAGATTACCCAAACCAGTCTCTTGCTTTCCACTTCCCTACCCGCTGGCCCACTCCAAATTTAACCCAGAATCAAAAACATCCTTCTGAACTCTGGCCACAGAACCTGACTACTCTGCATTCAAGCTGTCCCTGTAGCCTCTGTCTTGTGGAAACTCAGCTGCTTTAGCCAGGCTTGCCCTGTCAAGAGCAGCCAAAGCTCCTGAAATCCCAACTTAACCCCTGGCAACGGCATCGCCCTCCTCAAATGCCTGTCTACCTCAGTCTTCCAGGGATGTGGGCCAGCTGCTACCCTGTCTGTTTTCCCCAGCCCAGTACCACTAACCTTGACTGGAGACATTCAAGCAGAAGTACATGCCATAGATGATGTACACATATAGCGTCCCAGGTTTCATGAACATGCCACGGTTGCGGGGAGTCTGCCGGCCACCCCTTGAGTGAGCAGCTTCATCTTCTGGCCCCAAGTATGCCTCAGTCTCCACAATGCGCCCACGGAGTTCTGTTCCATCAGCGAGTCGCCGGACAAGGACCTGTGGGCATTGAGCCTGCTCAGACCATAGGAATGGGGGTCAACCCACCTGGACAGTCCCCACCTAGACCTCCTCTCTTAAGTTCAAGATGGACCAGGAACCCAGACTCAGCCAGACCCAGCCACCTGGCTCTCCATTCTGCCTCTTCTGCTCCTGCTCAGACCCTGGATGCCGCTGTTAAGGTGACTAGCCATTCTTGACCAACTACAGTTGCTCACTCAGGGTTCTGCCCACATCTCGAGATTCACTGTGCAGGCTGACCTCAAAGTCCCTTCAGTGTGTTCTCTGCTTTTCCACATCCTCTCCCAGAGTTCCCTTGAGAGCCTTAAATGTTCAGTGGCCCCAAGGGTCCTTACACAGCTTCCTGGGATATTCCAGATTCTGTGGTGTGCTTGTTAAAATAGGCTAGCCACAAAGGATCTGCATCTCAGATTGTGCCCGCTAGAGCTAAGGACTTCATGAGAAACAGGGCGAGCGGGGCCAGCTCACGCAATGCCTAGCCTGGTCCATGATCCTAAGAATGGCCAGCACTCTTAACCAGGGCTCATAGGAAGATTTCAGGATCCAGTGTGTCCACAGCACTTCATATCTTTAGGTTTGAGGGATTATTTGGTCAGAAGGCACCTTTATCTCAGTCTAGGTGCCTCATGGTGCCTCAGGGTTGCCTGGGCAACCATGGTGCCTCAGGGTTGGTATAACAGGCAGGGTGGAGGAAGAGGGGCCAGTGCTTGTCATGGAAGCCTGGAAATCCTTTCAGGAATCTAAAACACTGAACATGAATGACCGTTTTGGGAGAGGATAAAGGTCAGGGAGTGTGCCCTCACCAGCCATACTCACATGCTCCCATATCTCCAAGGGGCACACTGGGAACCCCAGCTGAGCTGGAGGGAGCTCCTAGCACTTCTCTGGTGGAGGGCCTGGGAAGGCAACAATGCTCCTCAGGTCAGAGCAGTCTGCTGTCCCAGCAGCTCACTGCAGTGAACCTTTACTGAGCTTGTGACCCACGTCTGGGTTTTCCTTGACCAAAGGGATAGATACACAGGCCAAAATACCCCTTTCCCTGCCAGACATCATCTTGTCTACCAATGTGGGCTCAAGCAGGCATGACAGGGAGCCAGCTGACATGCCCCAAGATGCTGAATAGTGGCAGATGTATGGTGGTGGTATTGGGCCATTTGGGTCCTTTACCTAAACCTGGGATGAATCTGTGCCATGTTTTGTCATATCTTAGATGTTGAATACCCTGGCGCTTTTAGAAGGAACACAGATCCTTGCAGCTTAAAACAGCCTGACAACAGAATTAAGTGTCTTCTGCGGCAGGTCAGGGTCTGTTCCTGTTAACATGGACTCTTAGCACCATTTTTTTCTAGTAGAGAAATTGGCTGTCCTTGGCCACGCTACCCTAAAGGGAAGCTTGTCAAAGCTCTGGCACCTAAGAATAGTGGGTGCTGCAGATGAACTTGGCCAGCTCCATGATGTGCACTCCAGAAGGTGACAGGCTGTATTATAGGTCACACCAGGCTGGGCCTGGAGTAGTCCCCATTCCCACTCCAAGCATGCCTGGCACTGCCCAGATCCTGCAGCGAGAAGACCAGCTCTTTCAAGTGATTCAGACATGCAGCCTAATGGCATCCTTGGTCCCAGTCATCGGGGAACAGGGTTTACCTATCTAATATCGTCCACAGTCCTTGCAAACAGCCTGTCCTAAGGGGACTGTAGGCAGATGGGTAAGGCTAACAATTGATTGCCAAAGCAGGAGAGTTTCCAGTGGCCCTGCTACCTCCACCAAGAAACACCACTATCATCAATGTTCCTTTTCGTTGTAGTGATCCTAGGCAGTAGTCACACTGTCCCAGGCCAATGTGGACAAAGCCGCTACTTATGTGAGCACGAGGAAGGCCGAATCAGGGATGTGAACA